CATGGAGTTGTTTGTCGGATCTACAGATCCCAAATTATGGGCCAGAGTGATCAAGGGTCCTCATGAACTCAAGGACGATCAAGAGAAATGGTCAGAAGAAGATTTTGAGAAGTTCCAGCAAAACTGTAAGGCGACTAATTTGATGTATTGCGCGCTGGGACCAGAGGAGTACCACAAAGTGGCTGGTTGCAAGACAGCCAAAGAAATATGGGACAAGCTGCAAGTCACTTATGAAGGTACTTCCCAGGTTAAAATCTCTCGCATAAATTCGTTGAAACATCAGTTTGAGTTATTCAAGATGGAAGAGGGAGAGTCGATCAGACAAATGTATGAAAGATTTACAAATATCGTAAACAGCCTGGAGAATTTAGATAAATCATACGAAAAAGTGGTGATTTGGTGAGAAAAATCTTGTGGAGTTTGCCTGAGAAGTGGACTCCTAAAGTAACTGCTATAGAAGAAGCAAAGAATCTTGAGACATTAGCCATAGATGAATTGATTGGATCACTGACTACACATGAAGAGAAATTGGTTAAGACAGGGCATGAGAAGGAGATCAGCGAGAAGGGAAAAAGAGGAGTGGCATTCAAAGCCACTAGTCTTGTAGATGAACCGGAAGAACTCGATGAAATGGAAGATGAAGAGCTTGCCCTGTTAAGCAAGCAGATAAGCAGACTAATTAGAATCAGAAGAGAAAAGAAACAAGGTGGTTATAGAAATAAGTCAAAGGAATTTGAAAAGAATGATGGTATGGGAAGAGGTGCACAAGGGAAAACTTTCACAAGGAATCGAAGTGAGTCGAGTTCAGCACCAAAGGGGGTAAGCTTAGCAGGATGTTTCAAGTGTGGCAGAATGGGGCACATTAAGGCTGAGTGTCCTCAGTTAAAAAAAGAGAGAGCTTTAGCAGCCACTTGGAGTTGTAGTGAGGATGAAGACGAAGATGATGATGAGGTAACCATTCACAGGTCATACATGGCTGTTGCCCAAATGGAGGAAGAGGATGAAGACTCTGCATCACCAGTATCCTTGTCCCAGGTAAGACCTACTAAACTAGAACAATTATGCAACCCTGAAGATGATATGCTACTCGAAATCATTAATGACATTCAAATAGAATTTGAAAATGTTAAAAACAAATACTGTAAACTAAAGAAAGAAAACGAGGTTAATCTCAAAAGGTTAACCGAATTAGAAAAAGAATTAGAATTTAGTAAACATAGAGAAACTTCACTCAATAACAGTTTACTACAATTAAAGGAAGAAAAGGAAGAGCTTCAACATGAATGTGCAAAGGTTAAAAGGAATTTACAAGAAAGCAGAAAATATCATAAAACTCAAAAAGGGATTGATAGCAATCGAAATTTGGTAGAATGCTACTACTGTCACTCATATGGTCACAGAATCAAGGATTGCAGAAAAAGACTTAGGTCAGAAGATGTAAAAAACACGAATGCATCTTGGCCCCATTGTCCAACCAAACAAGTTTGGGTGGTCAAATCCAAAATTGAAAGAAAGAACAGTGTTGCACCTGAATACAGTCATGTTGAGCATTATTCAGAAATCACAAATGCACCGAAGAAGATCTGGGTTTGCAAAACAAAATGAATTTTGTGCTTGCAGAGTTGCCTTCAAGTGAGCACGGAGGTGACCAAATGGATCATGGACAGTGGGTGCTCACACCATATGACAGGTAATAAACATCTATTCTCAACACTTAAGCTAGGAAATTTTGGAAAAGTCTACTTTGGTGATAACAACTCTGCTGAAATTGTGGGTAAAGGTCAAGTGGGGACTAGTCCCTGTATAAGAAATGTAATGCTAGTGGAAGGGTTAAAACATAATCTAATTTCCATAAGTCAGATGTGTGCAAAGGATAATCGTGTAATTTTTTAGTCAACCTGTTGCTATGTGGAAAATGTTAAAAGTAAACAAATCTTATTCACTGGTAAGAGGAGTGGAAAAATTTACACCATTGATCTAAATGACAAGAGTAGCTTTAATGAATTATGCTTAGTTAGCATGGAATCTAGTGAACAGCAGGATTGGCATAGAAGGCTAGGCCATGTCAATGTTGCTGTCCTTTCCAAACTGGTCAGGATGAATCTAGTTAAGGGTTTACCAAGAATCAACGAGAAGAAGGACTTCGTCTGTGATGCTTGTGCTCAAGGAAAACAAACCAAATCAAGTTTTAAAAGTAAACCAGTCATATCCACATCCAGAATTTAGAACTACTGCACCTTGATTTATTTGGTCCTGCAAACGTGATCAGTTATGGTGGAAAATCCTATGCATTTGTTATTGTTGATGATTACTCAAGATTCACATGGGTGCTATTCTTGGCTAAGAAAGATGAGGCATTGGAAAACTTCAAAACTTTTGTTAAAAAGGTTGAAAATGAGAAGTTAAGTAAAATTGCCAGTATTAGAAGTGACCATGGAGGGGAATTTTGTTCTGATATGTTTGAGCAACTATGTAATGACTCAGGAATCTCACATAACTTCTCTGCTCCTAGGACTCCACAACAAAATGGAGTAGTGGAAAGAAAAAATAGAACTTTAATTAATATTGCACGCACTATGCTACATGACTACAACTTGCCTAAGTATTTTTGGGCAGAGGCAGTTAATACAGCATGTTATATAACAAATCGAGCTCTAATCAGAACAACCTTAAACAAAACCCCCTATGAAATATGGAGAGGAAGGAAGCCTAACCTAGGATACTTTCACCCTTTTGGGTGCAAATGCTATGCCTTGAACACCAAGGATAATCTAGGGAAGTTCGATGCAAGATCTGATGAGTCGATATTCTTGGGATACTCAAATTCAAGTAAGGCATACAGGATTTTTAACAAGCGGACCCTCAAGGTTGAGGAGTCCGCCGACGTGATATTTGATGAGGGTGTTATTGAGTGTGCAGATATACTAGACGATGATGATTTTGGGCTTGGAACAAGCATCATGCAGAATAAACTAGGATCAACAGAAGCATCTCAAGCCAAGAACTCAGAAGAATCTTCCTCAAACGAGAAAGAAGTATCAGTCTCAGACAAGTCAAAAGAAGCAGAGATTGATATGGAAGATGAATCACAAGGAAACTTGGTACAACCACCTCCACACATAGTCAGGCGACATCCTCTCTGTCAAATTATTGGAGGACTGGACCAAGGTATGACAACTCGCTCCAGAAGTTTAGCATCCCTAGCAGCTTTTGTGTCTTTAGTCGAACCTAAGAATGTAGAAGAAGCTCTTCAGGATGAATTCTGGACGGCTTCTATGTTTGAGGAGATGAACCAGTTTGAACGTGCAAATGTGTGGGAATTGGTAACTAAACCTGAAAATCGAACAATAATTGGAACTAAATGGATTTATAAAAACAAATCAGACGAGATAGGAACGATAATTAGAAACAAATCTCGGTTGGTGGCACAAGGTTACTGTCAGGAAGAGGGAATAGACTTTGAGGAAACCTTTGCTCTTGTTGCAAGGTTAGAAGCAATTCGTATGCTATGTGCCTTTGCCAGCTCTAAAGGATCTATACTGTTCCAAATGGATGTAAAAAGCGCCTTTTTAAATGGAGATTTAAAAGAAGAAGTATATGTATCTCAACCTCCAGGTTTTGAAAATCACAATTATCCCAATCATGTATATAAACTAAAGAAAGCTTTATATGAGTTAAAACAGGCTCCCGGAGCATGGTATGACAAACTCGGCTCATTTCTGATAGAAAATAGATTTAGAAGAGGCAAGGTAGACAAGACCTTGTTCATTAAGCAAGAAAAGGAACATATTATGTTAGTACAAGTGTATGTGGATGACATCATTTTTGGGTCTACAAGTGAAAAACTCTGCAAAGATTTTGAAATAAAAATGAAGAGTGCCTTTGAGATGAGTCTAATGGGAGAATTAAATTTCTTTTTAGGACTTCAGATAAAACAAACTCATGCTGGAACTTTTATTTGTCAAACCAAATATCTTCACAACATGTTAAAACGTTTTGATTTTGGAAACTTAAAACCAGCTATAACCCCCATGGCAGCTAATACTAAATTAACTAAGGATGATACAGGAACAACAGTAAATGAAAAAATGTTCAGAGGGATGATAGGGTCCCTGTTGTACCTGACTGCTAGTCGTCCAGACATCATGTATAGTGTCTGTGTGTGTGCTCGGTTCCAGAGTTCACCTAAACAGAGTCACCTAAGTGCTGTCAAAAGAATTTTCAGATACCTGTGTGGATGTCCTGATCTTGGTCTGTGGTACTCACATGACTCTAGCCTAGAACTCTTAGGATATTCGGATGCTGATTATGCAGGATGTGTCTTAGATCGAAAAAGTACCTCAGGAACGTGTCAATTCCTGGGCACTTCCTTGGTATCCTGGTTCAGTAAGAAACAAAACTCAGTCGCTTTGTCAACAGCAGAAGCTGAGTACATTGCAGCAGGTTGCTGCTGTACTCAGATTCTCTGGATGAAACATCAACTTCAAGATTATGGTTTGTGTCCTAGCTCAGTTCCTGAGCTATGTGATAACACAAGCTCAATTAATATGACAAAAAATCCAGTTCAACATTCACGAACTAAACACATTGACATCCGTTATCACTTTATTCGTGAATTGGTAGAGGAAGGTCAAATAGGATTAGAATTTGTTCCAACCTCATGTCAGTGGGCTGATATTTTCACAAAGCCTTTGGGCTCGGAATCCTTCATTCATATACGTCGAGAGCTAGGGTTATTCACCCTAAATGACATAGCCAACCTGTCACCTATGTTCCAGGAATCTTCTAATTGATCTGAGTTACCTATTCTATTTAGGTTTCCAAAGGGCTGGTCAATCTCCAGATTTTTCCTAAAATATGTTTTGAGCTACCCTTTCTAATCGTAATAATTCTTGAAATCTCTTTTCTTCCGAAGGAAGCTTCATTACATTCCTTACCCGTATATCACATTCCCTAAATAAACTCTCTTCTCCACCTTAAAAGGGGGTCAAGGTCGAGATCCTCATCTCATCTCACACAAAGTATCATCTCACCTTCTCAAAGACCTCATGGCTGCTTCAAACAATCACGTAGCATCCCTGCGTCTGCTAAAGCTGCCATTTTCAATGGCAAAGGGTTTGAGGATGCAGCGGGATATGCTCGCTATCTACAACATTTTCAGGATCGTTCTCTGCATCCTTCCATCACTCTTGACCCTTCCCGGTTCAACAGATATGGAATGGATATTCCTCGCTTGATCAACTCTGTCGGATGGGGTGATATTCTTCCAAATCGAAACTTTGGGTTTCGTCTTGAGGCAGTTCAGATGTTCTACTCTAACATGAAGCCTTGTCTCCATGTTTCTCCCCCATGCTTCACTACGATAGTGTACAATTACTTGATCACTATCAATGTGGAACTGTTGTCACTTTTGCTTGGCATACCCATCGCTGGAGCAGAAGTCATGAATGAGCTGGACTTTCACTCTGTTGAATTTAATGAGGGAGATGCTCTGCGTTTGTATACGCGTGACATAGGTCGTTACTACCCCTCGGAATTTCATTCTGGTAGACTTCCAGATGACCTCAAAGTTCTGCATTTTTACATCACCCGTTGCTTTCTGCCTAGATCATTTGGGCTCAATACTATCTATCCATCCGATCTCTGGGTTCTTGCTAGTGCCAAGGAGAATCGGGTCATCAGTTACCCACATCTAATGTTTGATCACATGTTGAACTATCATGCTGATAACTATAATGCCGAGCTTCCTTTTGCTCCACAAATCACTCAGATTCTACTGGCCTTAGGATTAGATCTCCGCTTTAAGGTGGCTCGTGTTGATATGCTGAGCTCCCTTCGTGCTCAGTTTATCCTACGTAAGGTGGATGCATCAGTGGGTCGTCGCCGCCCGCTGGTCAATGCTCCAGGGGGAGAAGCAGCTGATGGAGTTCCCTCTGATCAGGATGGACTTCATCTGTCTGAGCTAGGTGGGGATGAAGCTGAGGAAGAACCAAAAATGGCAGATATGGTTACCATAGCCAGAGATAATGGAAAGCGACCCATGGTGGATCCTTTGGAAGCGGTTCAAGCTATGTTCAGGCAGGAGGAAGCAAGTAGCAGCAATAGAAATCTGATGATGGAGGATGAAGAGGCTATATCAGATTATGTGCCATCTCCTAGGTTTACTTTTTAAAGGGAACACTAAGCTTAGGGGGAGTCAAGAAATTGATCCTTGTAGGGACTACGTTGGTTAGATTAAGTGTCTTAGGGGTTGGAGTATCAATCTTGAATAATGCTCTGTCAGAGCTCATGTCATTTTAGTTTTAAATTTGTGTCTGAATGTTCTTGAGTGACATCGTCAGGAGTTTAATAAAATGATGCTCTTTCTAGTTTTTATCTAGGTTAAACTACTTAAGCTTTTTTTCTTTTGGAACAGTCTGCACGCAACAGTTTGTTAAAGTGTGTGCAGGAACTCCACATGCAGCTGGGAGGATCATTGACTGGCTTAGGGGGAGATTGTTGGCAAGTAAGCCAGCCACTTACCTCAAAATCAAGATATCGTGGATTTGGAGAAGCTACATGTGGAAAGAATCATCTACGCAAGGAAAGCAGATTTGAATAAATTGGAAGGATTTATTAGACGAGGCACTTCAGGAAGGAATTCAAAGAAGAAGACCTACCTTCTTGGTGAACAACGGCTAGCTGTATGAAGTACAAATAGCTCGATCAGGGATCAACACAATTCACTTCACGGGAGATCAATACACACGGGAGAGGCTAAGGAAATTGCAAGTGTGATTGATAGTGAAGAGAAAGCTTTGACATTGGTTCTGGAGAGAAACAGTGTTAGAGAGGAAGAGTGTTGGACAACACAGAAGCTGGATAGCTTGGGTAGTGTGAGTTAGTTAGAAGAAGGTAGAATAACCAACCTGGATTGGACTGGTTAATCTAGTGAGTGTAAAGCCATCATCGAACCAAGAAGCATCATACCTAGTGAATCGTTGGAAATCACAAATCGTGATCTTCCAACCATGGAATAGTCAGTATTGGGTTTTTCATTCTCCCAATACTGGAAACCACGTAAAAATTGAGTATGTGTCCTTCAATTCTGCACGTTAGTATCTACTCTTGTGGTTGTACTCTGTTTTGCTCGGGTCATACTCTGTTTTGCAGGATTTAGTGTATAACTTACACAGGGGATCAGCTCGGAGGAAAGGAAGAAGAAGCTGGGAGTGAAGTGAAGCCAAAATGCATCGTTTTAGTCTAATTAGTAAGTGGACAGGCCAGGTAACGAGAGTGGGCCTGTCAAACCGAGCCCAATACAAAGTCCCACGCTTTTGAATAACTCTAAACATTCATTCTGCTGCCTATGGAACTGGTTTCGATCAAAATCATTTCTCCTCCTTCTCACTTGATTTTCCAAAAGGCATACTAGGGTTTTTCAGGAGTAAGTTTCATCAGAAAGGGGAAACAGGCTTCTCGCGCTCGAAGCTTTCAACATCCTCTTTAATGGTTCAACTTTTCCTCAACATTTGTCTTGTTTTTGCTAGCATCCCGGCTATGAAACCAATTTGTTGAAGGTATGGATCTTGGGGCTGGGAATCTAGACCAAACCGTCTGACAAACCGCGGTTTAGACCGTACCGTACGGTTTGGTCCGGACCGTGAGACCATAAATACAATTTGGTTTGGTCTGCTCCTTCAATTTGCGGTATGGGACGGACTGGTCTGGTCTAGACCGCGGTTAACCGTCTAGACCGTATCCTCCAAGACCAATGTGGCCGGTCCCATACCCCATATGCCCACCCCACCCCATCCCACCCCCAACTTCTTCTCGTCTCTCAAGTCTCTCACACATTTCACCCAGCCTCCCCAAATTGAAAAAGAAAAACCCTAGCTCCCCGTTTTGCTGGAAGGAGGCCAACCAAAATCGCGTTTTCTCTCCCTCCAGTCAATCACACGCAACGATTCCATCCAGTTACTCTTCCTCTTTCTTCTCGCTCGTCCTCCTGGACCAAAATCACGAACGGTTGACGGCTCTCCTTCTTTAAAGAAGCCTTCTCCAACCGTTAATTCGTCAATTGCAACAAGCTGCCTCTCTACGATGACCAATAGACTTCTCTCGATGGTAATACACTAATACTCTAATAGCAATCCTTGCCCTGGTTTGTTAATACTTCGCTTTCCAGGGGGACAATCCTACTTGAATGCTTGTATATTTCTTTCGATTGCATCACACCTAGAAAGGGCCGGGAGCTCCCGCACAAAATACCAAAGTAACTTGTAAGCTTAAGTTTCTAGCTATTTATCACCGAGGATTTTTTTTTTTATTAATTCATAATGAAGACCATCATTGTTGGTTGATTCTGTTATAATACAAGTATCCAAATTACTCTACCCAATTCATGTTTTAAATGTTATAATTAAAGTTTCAGGAGCAACAACCAGCAATTGTAATGTTGACTTTTGAACTTTGTGGTTAATGATGAGATGTCAATGTTTTTTTGGTTTGTTAATAGGCTATTATTTAGTATTGGACACTACATGTTTCGTTAAGTATGGTCTGTCTGGTTCGGACCGCACCGTACAGGTGTGGTCTGGTCCGGACCGTATAGTATATGGTCTGGTCCATGGTCTCTGTTCTAGCTTCTCGGTCTGGACCGCAGACCGTCTATATGGTCTGGTCTGGACCAGACCGCACCGTTTCCCAGCCCTAGATCTTGGGTTGTTTATTTATATTTTAATTTTTGAGTGATTGGGTTGTGTATGTTAAAGAGTATCAATGAAAGAAAAGAGAATTTGGTGGGTTTGAGGAATAAGAAAGCCAAAGAAAAAAAAATCTACCTTACAATTTTCACTAGTTAATGGATGGAAATTTTCACAAAATTTTGCTTAGACTTGTTCAAGCTCGTTGGGAAGATCTCCCCCTGATATTTCTCAATTAATATTTCCTACTTATTAGAAACAATCCCATTTACTTTCAGTTGCAATCAGTGGTTGCTCAAATTTCTGCTTTCTGTTGTAATACCAAGTCCTCCATCAATATTTACTAATAAAAATACATATATATTTTTATGTATCAATATGATATAAGTACTTAAAGAAGGTTAATGATATAACAACAACACATTTTGAAATCTTGATGGTATATATTGAAGTAGTATTATTCAAACAACATCTTCCTTTTAAGACTTTATATTTCTTTTGCATGCTACATCTCGCTTTGTTTTCCCCCTCTTTGTCCACTTTCATATCTCAACTGACATGCATTCACTATTCCAATTCTTATTCTTCATTGGTTGTTGGTCTCAAGGTTCGCATTCAAGGTGTGGTTGAGGTTCTCATTCTATTTCAGTTCCTCACGTGTGTTCTTATGTGCATAATTCTATTGATCTCCTTTGCATAAAGTTTATTTGTGTGTTAAAACTTCTCATCATAATGTTATTTTCTTAGCTCTCTTTCCCGTGATACCTTACTTCTATAGAGTTGTTTGATTCTTTGTTTCATAAAGAACCACTTTACAAAGAATGAACACATTGTGATTTCATTTTTAATGACCTTTACTCTTTTCCACTTCTTATCGATTGTCGTTTCCATCAGTGCCTTTGTTATTTCTCTTGATTTGTGGCATCAACGTCCTTGTCATGCCAACTTATGTGTCATCAAACATGTCTGGTACTATCATCATATATATTTTATTCCTAATTGATCTTTCTTTTTCAACTTTGTGCCATGGATCTTGTGTTCGTAAATTACACAAACTTTATTTTTCTCCTTCTACTTTTTAAGCTTATGCTCCTTTAGAACTTAATTGTGGTGAGGTTTGGAACACACCTTGATGTTATCTTTTGATCAACATTATTACATTATTTTCTATGATCGTCACAACAAATTTAATCAGATATTTTTTATTCGAGACATGTTTCAATTGCTTGGTGTTACTGACGATTTCTCTAATTTCTGTAGAAATTCTATGGTTAACCTATTTAATCTTTTCAAGCCAATTTGAGGTAACATATCTTCTCTCTTGCCTCTTATATTCAAGATCATTGTATTTCTTATTGATCTCATGTTCTTATACGCCTGAGCTAAATGATTGCACCAAATGAAAATATCAACACATTGAGATGACGGCTTGTTATGCTTCACCAAGCTCTCATAACCATAAAGGTTAGACACTTTCCTTTGACACTGTTGCTATCTTTCTAATCATAATCTTACCTCTCTTCTCAATAAAATGATACTTAGTGTCAAAGGCAAGTGTTAATTATTTTTGGGAAGCTTTTTGAACCATAAGAAGCCCATTGTCGATAATGTAGAGATGTTTTCATTCTGCGCAACCATTTGTTTTGAGAGCGGAAGGATATGAGCATCATTATATAATACCATGAGCACCCAAATAAGTGGCGAGAGAGATAATCACCATCACGATTGGCTCGAAAAGATTTTATAGGTAAGGAAATGAATTTCTCATGAAGTTGTTGAAATTGAATAAATATATTGAGCAACTGAGATTTTCTAATTGAACCAAAATAAATCCAATTGAATTTGTTGTAATGATCATAGAAAAGAATGTAATGAGACTGATCATACGTTAGCCTTGGGGAAGGTCACAAATGTCACTACATATAAGTTCCAAAGGAGTAGAAGCTTGAAAAGTGGAATGAGTGAAATGGAAGCCAAGTTTGTGGTTTTACTCATAGAACATCCATGACACAAGGGTGATGAAAAAGGGCAAAAGAAAAAAAAATTATTTGATATAAGTAAACAAGATATGTTTGACATCACATAAGTTTGCATGACCAAGACGTTGATGCTACAAAGTAAGAGAAGCAACAAATGCATGTGGCATCTTGCAGCAAGCGGTGTGAAATGAAAAAGGGTTGAGGTTGTTCGAATTGAAATCATGATTATCGATTAATGAACATTATTCTGGAATAATCAGCTTGCTTTTGACCTCCAAGAAATGACCAAGGTCCAGCTGGTAGCTGAGACCAACTCTTATAAATTTTTTTTCATCAGATTATCATAGCTTTTATAAGCATTTTTTTCATAGGGTTGTTGATTATATTGGTAATAGGGATGGCAAATTACCCACCCATGGGTTATTATACCCAAACCCAAGTAGACCCATTGATAATGGGTTGGGTATGGGTGAAGTGCATATGGATTTGGGGTTTATAGATGGGTTTGGGTTTGGGGCTTCCATAATCTAAATGGGTATGGGTTGGATATGGATATCCATTTACTTGAGGGTGATTTAACTACACATGCAAAAATTGGACCTATTTGCAAAACTTGAAAAGTTTAGGTACCAAAATGTAAGACTAAAAAAATTTAGGTACCAAAACGTAATTTCCCATCAATATTTTGAGGACTTATATGCAAA